TGTACATTATTTTGCGGAATGCTGTTGATGAAAAAAGTTAAAGGCAAATGAATGTAAATGAATGTAAGAAATTAATGCAAATGATTTTTCATGCCTGCATAAAAGTAATATTAAGTAACCTACAGTACGGGTATCTTAAGAATCGGGGTGACGTGGTGGTATTTGCCAATTTTTCTGTAACCGGAAGCCGCCATCTTGGATTTCGAAATGGCGTCAGATATCGATTTCCGGTCCCTACACGTCACCCTGATTCCAAAAATACCCATATTGTGAGGTATTTGGCAGAATTTCCAAGTTTTTCTGTAACCGGAAATCGCCATCTTGGATTTCAAAATGGGATCAGACATAGATTTCCAGTTCCTAAACGTCACCCTGATTTCAAAAATACTTATATTGTGGGGTATTGAAAGTATCTTCCAGTTTTACATGAACCGGATGTCGCCATCATGGATTTCAAAATGGCGTCAGACATGGGTTTCCGGTTTCTACATCTCACTCCGATTCCAAAGGTACCCATATTGTGGGATATTTCATAGTTTTTCCAGATTCCCATAATCGCAAAAAAAACTCGTTATGTGGAATTTACTTCGTAAAAAGAAAACTCGTTATTTGGGATTTACTTCGTAAAAAGAGGGACGTAAATTGAATACTTGCGTAAAAAAAAAAGACTTCGTAAAGGGAGGTTTCAGTGTATATGCTTATTTGTGAACTGAGTTGTTTGTTGGGTAGCATCTAATACGACAAACACAACACGAAACGATTCTGTGCTCAAGTTATTAAGCCTGTGTTCCATTTGGTGAATTTTCACTTAAATTTAACAGATGGAAAATTTTCAGATAAACCTACTATTCCAGCAGACTTATTTCTGACAGACAAGGAATCAATTTGACAAACGCTTTCTCGAAAATCGGCCCATGTACAACAGAGGGATTTTCGAACATCCTAATTTATTTTCGAAGTGTCAAATCTAAGTGAAAATTTTCCAAATGGAACACAGCCTTAAAGGGCGTCCACGATGAAATTGCTCTAACTTTTTAACCGTTGGGTAGAATTTAATGAAAATTTGGGGGGATTTAGTTCAAAGTGCATTATTTACATCCTGCAAGTTTTAAAGTCCTGTGATCAAAACTCGCGGAAATGGAGTCAAAAGAACAGCTCGTGCGTGATAAAATCTTGCGCATTCATCACGAGAACAAGGATCTCTCGCATCGTTCCATCGCTAAAACGTTGGGAATCGTGAATTCCACGGTGTCGCGAGTGATTGAGCGGTTCGAGGAACGGTTGACCACCGATCGGAAGCCCAGAAGTGAAGGAAAAAGTATTCCGTACAACACCAAAAATCACAACCGCGTAGTTGGGGCCTTCAACCGAAATCCGAACGCCTCCGTTAGGGATGTGGCTAAGAAGCTGCACCTAAGCCGAAGTTTTATCCAGAAGGCCAAAACTAAGGCTGGGCTTCGAAAGTTCAAGGTACAAAAGGCCCCTAATCGCGACGAGAAGCAGAACAAGTCCGCCAAAACCCGTGCCAGGAAGTTGTACCTCAACATGCTGACGAAAGTTGAATGCTGCATCATGGACGACGAAACATATGTGAAGGCCGACTTCAAACAGATCCCCGGCAACCTGTTTTTCACGGCCAAGGATAAGTTCAGCGTTCCGGAGCATGTCCGCACTCAGAAGATGTCCAAATTTGCGAAGAAATTCCTGGTTTGGCAAGCCATCTGCACGTGCGGGAAGCGGAGTGCACCTTTCGTGACCCAGGACACGATGAACGGACAGGTGTACATAAAAGAGTGCCTCCAGAAGCGGCTGCTTCCTCTCCTGAAGGCCCACAACGTCCCAACAATATTCTGGCCGGATTTGGCCTCATGCCACTACTCCAAGGACGTGCTGAAGTGGTATGCGGACAATAAGGTCAATTTCGTGCCGAAAATGTTCAACCCTCCCAACACTCCGGAGCTCCGCCCCATCGAGAAGTACTGGGCGATTATGAAGCAGCACCTTCTTAAACGACCTAAGGTAGTGAAGACAGTCGAGGAACTAAGAAAGTATGGGTTTACATGCAAAAAACGGTTGATTCAAAGGTTGTGCAGAATCTTATGGCCGGGGTTAAGGCCAAGGTGCGGGCATTTGCGTATGGACTGTAAATAAAATACGAGTAAAATGGTAAAATGAAGTTTAATAGTTATTTCTCAATCCCTGAAAATTTGATGGCAATCGGATGAAAACTAGAATTTTGCGAATCAATTTTGTGTGTGGCAATTTCATCGTGGACACCCTTTAGTATTTTTTTTTTATTTGTTCAATCGGTTGATAAAAGATGTACCGAGAATTTATTGGAGGGATTCATGGCAAATTGATATCATCTCGATCAACTATGAAATGTTGCATAACATTGATGCAAAATTGTGCACTCCGTTTTTGTGTGTGCATTTATTTTTAGCGTTTTGAAGTTGAATCACTGAGGATCAATCTCATTTCCCTAGAAAAATGTCAAGAGTACAGATATCAGCTCTCTCAAAACTTATAATAAAAAACTGGAACTTTACGTTTGTTGCAGTCCAGTACACAAGTAGTTTCAATTTCATGAGTGATGTGACAACCGTCCAAGATGTGTGTCCTAGAAATCTTGAAGTGTTAGGGAATATCAGCCATCATAACGGTCATTGTTGGACGCTTCAACCTGAAGAAAACCTTACTCATATCTGATTGTAATTAAGGAACCAAATGAAATAGAATATGTATTCGCATTTTTTTGAGGTCCTGAATTTAACCAAGTCTTACTAAGTAGAAAATCCAAAATATGTACATAGGACCGAAATCATAGGTTACTTCTACTGTTTTTTTAATCAATATCTAGAAAAAATGCACGAGAATTTCACTACACAGCTTAACGTAGTTTACTTTAACCCTGCGGTCGTGTCTTGTACACAACCCCACCAATTTTTGTTTGTTCACATTTACGATGTCCTACTTTATTACATCTATCCTTGTGATCCATGACCAGTAGACTGATGCAAAATTTGAAATTATCGCTCCACAGTGCTCAAACGGTTCCAAATTGGGCCCTGATTAGCCTCCCAAAATTTTAACTTATTTAGTGAGAAACTGACTTGGCACAAACCATTTGAAGTTTATATACACACTTCGAAAATCCTAATTTTACACGTGACGGAATCATCTTTAACATAAAGGATGACACGTAAACAAACATGTCATGTAACATTAAGTGCTCCGAGACGGAAAAGTTTGTTACTCGACGAAACGTACGTTTGATTGAGCTGAATTTCGTGTCTATCATGACTTAATTTTATGTCAAAATTAACGCTCGTATATATCAGTCTCAGAACACCTAAATTTACATGAATTTTTCTAAGTGTGTAGGAATTACTATGAAGAAACCATAATTTCGATTCATATCTTACTCAAAATTCACCCGTTCACTCTAATTTAGAAATTGATAGCTGAGTTTGTTGAAATTTTCTCAGCTACAACTTTGTTCCAGACAACTCTTTGATTCAAGTCACTGATGTCTTATGATTATGCTCAATCAACTGCTCAGCAGGCAACATTGGTGTTTATGGTTCGTAGAATAGAGTACAAAAATCATGGCTACTATGTCACACTGCAGAATGCAGTGTTGCCTTCAATACAGTTGCTTAATCTTGCCATAAGATTGTCAATCTCTTAAACAATTAATAACTATTTAATTTGACATTTGGCTGAAAAACGATTTTCTGCAAAGTTGAAGCTGATAAAAATTCCCATAAAAATAGCAATAGAATTTATTAACAGTACAATTTGTAAAAAGGCTAGAAGACAACGAACAAAAAGTTTGATTTTCGCATAGTAATTTCCATATAAAGTTCAAATGGTTTGTGCCAAGTCAGTTTCTTATCAAATGAGTTTAAACTTTCGGAGGCAAATCAGGACCCGATTTGGAACCGTTTGAACACTGTGGAGCGAAAATTTCAAATTTTGCATCAGTCTTATGACCAGTAGGGTTTTTTCGCTAGTCATCTTTATTCCCAGTGGCCTGGCAGTGACGTTGCAGGAAGAAAACATTCCTTTAGTTTGTCACTCCTGGCTGATCCAGCGTAACATATTGTCAATTAGGGGCGATTCAAATGTGACGTACCCGCTTGATGGAGGGAGGATGTTCTAGAATTTGTGACAGTTCGTTTAATAGATATGAGGAAAAGCGTGGCACCGAGTGGTTCAAATAATTGAAAAAAATGTGGATGTCAAATTAGAACTGCCCCTTTACGAATTATGTGCAGATGCTTAACGGGCTTCTTTACAAAACAACCAACCTTGATTGAATTATTTGAATGTCTTTTTTGCTTGAACTAATCTTTTTCATAATTATTCTCGTGCTTCGTTCTGATTACCCAATGACCTTTCGCTAGTTTAAACTAGCTAATGTTTAGTTTCTGATCATGACAATGCGTAAAAAAGTAGTTTTAACAAGTTCACCGACTGACGCATGCATACGTGCCAGTTGGCACTTTATGGTAAACAAAAAGTTCATCAACTACTGACTTCATAACAATCTTCAAGCTAGTTCTATCTGCTTTCGATTGTGAGCTTTCGTTCGATCAGCTTATTTGTATTTCAAGCTGTGTTTAATTTAGGGAAAAAATGAGAGTGAATAGTAATTAAAGAACATCAAACAAAAATCGATCAAGGTATTATAGGCAATTCATGATGCTTTCATAAGTCCTAAGCATTATGCTAACTAAACGATTGCAAATGAAAATGTATCATCACCACAAGCATGGTACCCATCAGCATCACATTTCTTATTTAGCTTAGCCCGATCCCAACCACCACAAACGTTCGATCCAATCTCACTCGCTCTGCTAACACACTACTCCACAGCTTCCTATCGCAGTGCCGGTTGTTTGTTTGACCTCGCCCGACCAACAACGTACTGACCGTCTTCTGTGATAAGCGCCAAATTCGACAAACACCGTTTGCGATCGGCTCATCGTTGGCTGTCAGTATACGATCGAAAGTGAAAGTGATCACACATCCATCCCAGTCGTCGTGCTTAGAACGTTCAGTGTAGTTGCTTGGGAAGAATGTTGTCGGTTTTGTCACGCTGTGCGCCGCGGGGGAGGAGCGTTCCGGCGGTATCTATGCTGCATCGCTATGCTTCAACCGGAGGAGGGGAGCCGAGCAAAACGGCTCTGTACGATTTTCATCAAAGCCACGGGGGAAAGTTGGTCGATTTTGCTGGCTATTGGTTGCCAGTTCAGTACAACGATCTGAGTATTATCAAGTCCCATCTGTACACTCGGGAGTACGGGTCAATATTTGACGTGTCGCACATGTTGCAGACTTACTTGAAAGGTTCGGCACTGTTGATAAGGAGGTTGGAAGGAAAGTGCCAATGGAGTAATACATTTTTCGGATTTTGCAGGCAAAGACGTCATCAGCTGCTTCGAATCGGTTTGTACTGCTGATATCAAGGGACTGAAGAATGGAACTGGAACGTTAACCGTGTTTACCAATGGAAAGGGAGGAATTTTGGATGATCTGATTGTGAACAGAGTTGCCGATGACACACTGTACGTGGTTTCCAATGCATCACGCAAGGAAACGGATATGGCCGTTATGTCTGATGCTGTGGTAGGTAGATCACGAAATAGGATCCCAAAGTTATGTGTTCAAACGAATCGTTTCTTCCTTCTTGACAGGCATCCTTCCAAGCCAAAGGCAAAGACGTTTCAGTGGAATTTCTCTCCAGTGACGACCAATCACTGTTGGCACTTCAAGGCCCCAGTGCCGTTTCCGTGCTCCAGAAGCTTTGCACCAAAGACCTTTCGCGATTGTACTTCATGAACAGCACAACCGACAGCATTGCCGGTGTGGAAAACTGCCGTATCACCCGATGTGGATACACCGGTGAAGATGGTGTAGAAATTTCGATCCCCTCTGCCGCAGCCTCCGACATCGCATCCGCGCTGTTGGAGCAGAAAGTAGGCAATCTTAAACTGGCTGGTCTTGGCGCACGTGATTCCCTCCGGCTGGAGGCCGGTCTCTGTTTGTACGGAAACGACATCGACGAATCAACGACTCCCATCGAGGCCGGTCTGCTCTGGCTGGTGGCAAAACAGCGTCGTGCAGAGAACAACTTCCCCGGGTCGGACAAGATCCTCAATCAAATTAAAAACGGAGTCACCCGACGCCGGGTTGGGTTCAAGATGTCGGCCGGATCGGCTCCTGCGCGGCAGCATGTGGAAATTTTCGACAACGAGCATCACAAAATCGGCGAGATCACCAGCGGCTGTCCGAGTCCGTGCCTGCAGCAAAATATCGCCATGGGATACATCCGGGAGGTGTCGAAAAAGGTGGGAACGGAAGTGACGCTCAAGATTCGCGATAAGTTCTACCACAGCCAGGTCGCCAAGATGCCATTCGTCGCGACACACTACTATCAACCACCGAAATAAAATTGCTTGGATTGTTTGTTCATGTCTAACTGCATGATTTGGCGCGTGTATTATTATATTTTTGTATGTTGCTGCTTATCAGTTGGCTCGGCGTGGTTGGATCGTAAATGTTAACGGCTTGGTCAGTTGATTGGGGCACAATACCTGTTATAAAGTAAAGGAAACTTTTAGTAGTCACGTATATTGTTTGAGGTTTGTTTGAGAAAATCCTGTTTTTTTGTCATTTTCCAGTGCTACTTCCCAGTTCACATTTCATAACAGCTTCTTGCTAATGGTAATTTTTAACATCAGTGTGGCCAGGTTTCAACATGAACCGAGTAAAATCTCCAATGAAGGTATCACAAATACTTCAATATGAAAGAAAAATCTTCAAAGTCTATGTTTCGACAAACCAACGTCTGCAATTTTCTAATTTGCTCAATTTGGAATATAAAAAAGAAATGTTAAGAACCTGGCATTTCGAGTATTCAAGTCCCACAGTTTTGATGAAAAAATATATTCAAATCTTTTCTTATCATGAAAATTCACAAACTTTTCTAAGTTTTTACCGACATCTGGATCTTAAAATGCTCCAGGCCAAATAACGAACAAAAATGTTCAGCCGTTTTGAGTTTACCCAATATAACAATGAAAATACTGCCGTGTATATTTATCCCGAAAAGTACTCAGTTGCCATTTTGATTAGAAATTCCGTTTTCGAACGATGATTTTTTTAAATTGATTGAATCCACCATTTTTACCTTTTTGCAGAACTCAAAATGACCGAATTTCAGCCCAAATGTAAGTGATTATAGCCATGACAAATGTAAAGTTTCACGCATATCGGAGAACGTCATGTTGGATCGATTCGTCGTTTGGAGTAGATTTTCTTTCTTGATGTTTTGTCCGTGTCAACGATCTTGAAAAGATGTGTGTGTATCTTAATTATCTTGAAACCCTAGAATGTATTTAAAATCAACTTTGAATTTCCTCAAAGACTATCTTGGCTGTTTTTCTAGTATTTTCTTATTATTCATCACATCTCACAAGGAATGTTCTACCAACAACTTTTCAAATTCAGTCGTATCATTGAGTTTCTCATAATTTTCGCAGACTTTCGATAGAATTTGATTTAAAATTACTTAGATTGTTTGACGTTGGATTACGTCTTTCGGCAACATATTGGGGGTGCAATTTCAAAAACCAAAATTTACCGCATTACGAAAAGTGGTCAGGTTTTGACCACATATAACTCTGTCAATAGCGGATGGATTTTAATTCTAAACAAACCAATCGATTAGAAATCTTGCTATGAATAAACTTCATTGAACACTTTATTAATTGTCAAAAGGTCTCTACTGAACATTTAACAAATATCCAACTGTTGCAATAGTGATCAAAATTTTCACCGAATGCCTGCAAACAGCGCATTCCCTAACACAGATTTAAAAATCGAATTCGATCCTGTCTCCCTGAACGGTGCTTATTCAATCACCGTACAAGGTGGTGTCCAGTGATGCCACATTTACAGATTTATCTGTAATTACACAGATTTTTCAGATTTTTCAAATAAAAGGAATGTACTTTACAAATTTTTTTAATTATTAAAGGCGATAAATAATCTTTTTTTTTCCTTTAAAGCAACTTGAATTCAATCTGAGCATACCCAAACCGTATTTTTCACTAAATAAGTATAATTATTTTAGCTTCGAATGGACTTGAAATCTTTCGAATGGACTTCTGATGTTCAGATGTTCTGATTTATCGTTGGAAGAGATATTAGTTTCCCTTTCTAATCATGATTATCATAATTAATCATGTCACATGGTGTAACCGTAATAATACGAAAGATAATTAAATACATTTTTGTCAAACCGGTAAACAAGCCATTTTAGAAAATCCACAAAGTGGTTGATTCCAGTTTGTGAGTCGAAGAATAAACAGTATATTTTTATATTTGAAAAGCGTAATTACACAAATAAAGATTATTGCATGCAATTCGGCTAAACTTAATAGTGGTGTTATGTCCAATGTCCAGATTAAGGTTCTCGTAATCTCAGACATAAAAAAAAACTATTTCTAGGGAATTCTGATAGTTCCTTCATTAGGGAAATTTTCTACCGGTAACAGATTTGTCTCTCATAACTGGTACTTAATGTTTTGTTTTTTTCAGACACTTAAATTTTTTCGTCGAGATTCCAACAGCCGAGTAGTTCTGAAATTTATTTTGCTGAGATTCAGTAAAACAATTGCCGAGACTTTTTTTAACTATTTTGAATAAATTTAACTATTTTAGAGACTACCTAGATTTGCCACTCTTGAGTGAAACATTTTTTAAATCAAATTGAACCTCAATTCTCACGAAATCTATTGCCATATTAAATCATCTATTTTCTCAATAATCTTCCATCTTGGAATTGAAATTTTAATTGCTATTACCACAAAATTGCATTTACATTTTAAACCATTTATATAAGGACCTTTATTTTGTATACACCATTTTGAAAGTCATCTACCATCTTGGAATTGAACAACATTTTATTGAAGATCCACCATCTTTAATCCAATATTCTGAAAATCATTTGCCATTTTGAATCATCCATTTTTAAACTAATCTTCCATCTTGTAATTGATTGTCATTGCGATTACAACAATATTGCATTCAGAAATATCGTTCGTTTTATAAAAGACCGATCAGCTTGAATCCACTTTTTTGAATCCACCATTTTGAAAATCAATCACATAACTTGGAATTGAAATTGTTTTTGCAATACCAGTTTATATTCACTATCTTTAATCCACCATTTGAAGATCATTCATGGAAATTGGAATAATTTCTTTCAAAAAGATCGAACATTTTAACAACGATCCACCATCTTGAATTCACTCTACGGCTTATTCCAATCCATCGAGGTACTGCTATCTCGTCTAAGCTTGCTAAGTTCCGTCTGTACTCTCGCCAGTACTCCTGTAACTGCGGTTCGAGTGGATCATCCCATCCACAGTCTTGCTTCCAGAGATCCTGCAGACAGATTTTCGCCTGAATTATTCACCCCTATTCTGTATTTCGTTTCGAACGAAATTCTCATACAACAAAATATTTGTTTGTATGAGAATTTCGTTCGAAACGAAATACAGAATAGGGGTGATTACTTGTCCTACCAGTCCCAAAGGGTCAAACAGTCGGGAGGTATCTGATAGGACACAACGCTTCGTTATCTCCGGAGACTCATTCCACATCGTCGAACTGAATCGAAAGGAATCTGTACTTCGTTCCCAGGTTAAACCCAGAGTTTTCACAGACGAGCTTGAAGAATCCAATTTTAAGATCGAGCGTTCGTCACTCAAATTCTCCAACACCTCTGACAGCAATTCCTTGCTGTTAGATTTCGTAACGAAAATCCAGCAGATTTGCAGTAAATCTATCATTTCTTTGAAGAGCACCTTCTCTTCCTCAATGTAATCTACGCCTCACAACATATCATCCACGATTAAGTCCTTTTTAAGAACCTTTTAAGCAGCTGGGGGCGAATCCTTGCCTTCATCGGCCAAGCGTTGCAGACATTTCGTTGCCAAATAAGGTGCTGATGCAGTGCCGCAGATAACTGTGTTGAGAACGAATGTCCGAATGGGTTCTGTTACGCTATCTCTCCAGACTATTTTATGCAGCAGACTCCAGTAAACTCTGCACCACCATCCGATACATTTTGGCAACGTCTCCTACAAGAGCGAATCGATGTCTTCGGAAACGGAGAGTGATATCCACTTGAACTACGGGTCCCACCATCAGTCCATCGTTGAGTGAAATGCCAGTGGACGTTTTGCAAGAAGCGTCAAATACTGCTCGCAGCTTCGTCGTCGTGCTGTCAGGCTTGAAAACAGCGTGGTGAGGCAAGTAGTTTGACGGGGCACTCGCATCTTCTTCGAAAATCTCCTGCATATGACCAATGGCTGGATATTCGTACATGAAATCCACGTACTGCCTTTTCAGTTCTGGATTCATCGAAAAACGACGGTCCATTTCCATAAAACGCTTGATTGCAGTCGATCTGGACTCACAGAGCTGCTGGGTTATCGCCTCCTTCTTCGGTAACATGACCACGTATCTCGCTTCTTCATTCCTGAACGTTGTCCTATCGAAGAATTCTTCGCATGCAGATTCCTCGACCGATAACGTACTGGTAGATTGACAAGTTTCAACTACCCAGAGCTTCAGCAGCTCCAAAAAATATTCCGCTATTAATTATTTATTTATTTATAGTATGTGTAATGGTTGTACTGTGATTTTTTACAGATTTTAGATTTTTGAGGGTGAGAGTGCCCAGTTTGAAAAAAATACAAACGAGGGGTAAGACGGCGAGAAATCGTTTTCAAATATTCTAGAAATATGTTTCCTAAATTGTTTCCTGCAAAAAAAAAACTCTATGACAGCAATATCGTATCAAGCTTTAGTTAGGCAGCATACGACCATCATCGGAACAACATACCAAAATTCATGAAAAGGGCGGTACCAAAAGATTAGGACGTGTTAGGGTTTAAGTTTGTTCTAGACTTTCACTCAGGGGACTAGAAGATATGGTCAATTGCTCAGTCTTAGAAAGTTGTGTTATTTTATTAATCAGGCAAGCCAATTATATTTTTAAATTGAATAAATTTACAATAAATTATGATTAAAATCATGGGATTTAGATTATTTTCATTCTTTTATGTTGTTAAAATAATTACTTTATGGAAATCTCAACATACCAGCACATACTATGGTTTTTACAGTGAATTTCTATGAATTCATTCCCCCAATTTGAAAAATCTCTCAACCGAGGGGTAAGAAAACAAGATATCGTTTTCAAATATTCTTGAAAAAATTGTCTCATATCATTTCCTAAAAAAAAAACTTTTCCACGGCAATGTCGTAACATGCTTTAGTTAGACAGTATACAACCGACATCGAGACAGCATACCAAAATTCATAAAGAGGGTGGTACCAACAAATTAGGACGTGTTAGGGTATAAGTTTGTTCTAGACTTTTACTCAAGCGACCACGAGAAAGTCAAATAAAGTGAATATTCTCGG